TTATTAGCTTTATTCAATATTATATTTTTGGTACAATATAGAATCCTCAACGTAAAGTATTTCAACAAGTTTCCGTTTCTTTCTTCTTGGTCGGTCCTGGTGATAAATATTGAGTGATGGCCAGTTAGATGTTAGCAGTTCACTGAATGAACATCTGAATAATGTACATTCTTTTCGCTATATATTGCCAGCAACCACATTGCCTCTTATTAAGTTTTTTGTAACTTTGACAACGAAAGGTTGTACACTTCAGAAACGCAGCAGAATAGGTCATGCGATTAATAAACATAATGATATATTAAAACAAGCAAAAATAGATAATTACACAGGTTGAAATCATGAGTCAGTTGAAGCTAGGCCACCATTGAAAACCTGGAAGCACTGGACGGCCGTTTCGTCCTGGTATGGGACTCCTCAGCAGTGCGTACCCACTATCCCGCACCACGCGGGGCTCGAACCCAGGACCTACTGGCTTCGCGCGCGAGCCAGTTACATTGTCGAATATCTCATTGATTATAGATAATCAGTTAAGAAAATTACTACTTCAGTGACATGAATAGAATACATTTAGATCTTATGGAAAATGTACAGTATAATTGTACGCTTAAAATTTCTTTGTTCAAGCCACTGAATACTTCTATCTGAAGTTTGTGCTGATGATATCGTTCAGAAGAACGATCAAAGCTCCATGACCAAACCATCCAGCTCAGAGAACAAAACTCCACCAAAACCACTGAATACTAGTTAAGCTTTAATTTGTTTTATATCAACAATCAGAACACTTCAGTAAAGCTTGATTGACTGAACGACTTTATTTAAAAGAAATCGTGGTAGTTACGCATGACTAAATTTATAAAATTAAATTAGACTTTATTACTCACTTTAAAAGTAAGTAAATGTAAGCGGATTATAAAATAACATGTCAACATGTTTCTTATTATGAACAGGCTTTTTTGGAACTTGAAAGAAAGCTAAAATTTCTCATATCTTTTTATAATAATAAGCATTACAGCCGGATTCTAGTTGGGCATCTACTAAAAACTGTGAGTCATTAAATATCTGTTACGAGATTTCTCAAGGTAAGTGTCAAATCTAGAACCGTCAGGTGAGTGCTTAACCATTAGACCACTGAGCCGGCCTCCAAAAGCGTTAATGTCTAACTTCATCAATCCAGTATTAATCGGTTATACAAGTTTATTAAAATAGTTTTTTGGCTGGTACTATCATACCGGTATTGTTGAGTACCACGAAAATCATCAAACAATACTATATCATATTCTTTCAATCGGATTGCTTGCTAAACATACAGCTATTATTGCTAAACAAATAAGGCTCAAATAATTCGTTGAAATTTTTATCATTATTCTGTATTAATCATGCTCAGCTTAGAGTTCTTGGAATTTAAGTCATTATCATTTCATTTTTCATTCAAATATTTATATATACTTTTCCATATAATAGACGCTTAGATACAAGTTAATCATAACCAAAATCCAATTTGCTTAAAAGGTATACAACAAATGGAACATATCTGTTTAATATCGATTAAAAGTAGTTAAACTTAAAGTTAATACAAAGAATAGTATTGGCATTCTATAAAGTTCATATTGAATGACAAATCTGATTAACAAATGAATAAATCTACATTTTGTTAAGAAGAAAACATTTTATTCTACGGTTTTATATGTACACAATGATTTAATATACAAAACTATACATACCATATTAATAGAAATATAAAGTAAAAATATACCCCATATTTTATTTACATTATTTTAATAGTAATTAAGTTTAAGGTAACTAGTCCCTTTTATAAATTTCGATAGAACAATGAGAAGCCAAAAATGATCTGAAGTTGTCAAGGACAAATCCTCAAGTTTATTGAAGCCTTAACTATTTGTAAATTTAAACTCCCTTTACGTGTACAAAAAACAATTTGTCGTAACCTTGAATTTACTTTGGTAATCCTCAAGTCGTTTTATGGCCTAAGATAATCCGACAATTTCATACTTTTTCTATACAATGTAAACTTGTTTCTCTCCACTTTGTTACCTTTTTTCATTGAACTCCTATTTAATTGTATTCACTTGGAGTTGCTCACTTGTATCTTCCCATTGTTTATTAGCACTGCAATTGATCAGTCTCTTGTTGGTATATCCGCATTCAGTGCGGACTGCCTTGATATTGCCTGAAGTCATAAGCTTTATAAGCAAAGATGGATAGTGGCTATGAGTGGAATCCAGGAAAATATTGGAGTGTGTATTTGATACTCTTAGTAAATAAGCTATCATAAATGAGAGTGACAGTTGATATAGTTATAGATATAGAACTGAAAAAAACTAAAGTGGCTATGAGTGGAATCGAGGACGTGGTCCATCCTATTTGAGACTCGTCAGTTGGATGTACCTGCATCTCCGGAACTCGAATCTAGTACCATTCGCTTCAAACGCCATCACGTTGTCCACTTAGCTACTGAGTTCAAACTGAGTTCTGGTAATTGACATTTATTAATTTTCATATATAAAAATGCCGTGGTAAGTGTATATGTGACCAGATTGTTCAAAATGTATAGCGCAAATACATTACATTTTTCAGATCAACTCCGTCTTCTCACTGTTCTATCGAAGTAATTAAGTTCTTCTTTTGACAAGGATTGATAGAAAAACAAATCATGAAACTTATAACTTCCGAAAAAGTTATTTCTTGATTTTACTGATATAAAAATTTAACTTAGAAATGTTTATTCCTAGAAAGTGAAAATCACTTCAATCATATTGTAGTGAATGAGAACACAAGTGGAGACAATCGAATGTATTTCAATACAAAATTACAGAATATCTGAAAACGATACAGTAAATACTTAATTTGCAAAATGTTAACCAATTGCCTTAAACTTGACTGTTTCTTTTGCAAATATCAGTAAATCGTCTCAGATTTTAATGTTTCTTCATTTTTATACCAATTGCTTTCTGTTCCTGTTCTTTTCTTCACGATGTTCTGCTGCCAGACATTCTATTCCTGACTAGTGTTATATACTACTTACGTCGATATAAGCAGCACACACCACAATATATGTGTTTCACTTTTCTCTTTGATTTGTTACCACATTACATTACTTACGCCTGTTACTCCTCGTGAAGCAACATAGGCCGCTCACCAGCATTCTCCATCCAACCCTGTCCTGGGCAATCCTTCCCAGCTCCTTCCAGTTGTTATTCATCCTTATCATATCTGCTTTTATTATCCGACGTAATGTGTTCTTTGGCTTTCCTCTTTTCCGCTTCCCTTCAGGATTCCAAGTTAGGGCTTGCCTCGTGATGCAGTTCGATGATTTGCGTAATATATGTCTTATCCATTTCCATCGTCTTTTCCTAATTTCTTCTTCAGCTGGAAGCTGGTTTGTTCTCTCCCACAAAAGGCTGTTGCTGATGGTATCCGGCCAATGGATGTTGAGTATCTTGCGAAGACAGCTATTTATAAATACTTGTATCTTCTTGATGGTGGTTTCTGTAATTCTCCAAGTTTCAGCTCCATACAGTGGAACTGACTGTGTTGACGTTCGTACTGAAGATTCTCACTTTGATACTGATTGAAAGTTGTTTTGAGTTCCATATGTGGCCCTTGCTTTGCCAATCCTTGCCTTTACGTCTTCATCTGAACCTCCTTGTTCATCGATGATGCTTGCCAGGTATGTGAAGGATTCTACATCTTCCAGAGTTTCACCATCAAGAGTGGTTGGACTGCTGTTCTCTGTTTTGAATTCGATGACCTTGGTTTTCTGCCTGCAGCTCTTCTAGAGTTACTGCCGGTCCCAAGCCCGGGTAAAGGAGGAGGGTTGAGCATGGGGTTAGCGACCCTATCCCGTAGAAAACTAACTTGATTTGTTACCATTGTTTCTTAATAGTTTGCTGATAATCTTTTTTAAAAATATGTATATATCTTTCTATCATCTGTTAACTGTGATGAATTTATTCTTTATAGACTTTAGAGAATAAATGAAGTTTCATAAAATTTATAAGTAATGGAAGTTTGTATTTTTGAAACTACATAATGTTTTGGCCTATGCAAATAATAAATAATGATATTCAGAGAGTATATTGAATAGTTAGTAAATAAAGTTTATTTGAAATCGTTCGATATCAACAATTTTGATGGCCACCTTTTCTTCCTGCACTAATTTATCAAAGTTAGGTTCCTTGTGTAGCTTCGTTGATAAGACCTACCTATAATGATTTGTACACAGTAAATTTATATAAATAAAAAGGTTGATAATGAGGCGTCATTACTTCTCATTAATTATTTGACTTAGCAGTAATAATCACTTGTTTCTTACTTGTATTTGTCCATGTTTAATCAATAAATCAGTTTCGTTTTGTTTAAAATAGGCACTAAGTAGATGTGCATTTATCTGACAATGGTAGTCTTTCAGGTAATTCATCTTTCGATAGAGCAATTAGAAGACGGAGTTGATCTGAAAAATGTGATGTATTTGCGCTATACATTTTGAACAATCTGGTCACATATACACTTACCAAGGCATTTTTATATATGAAAATTAATAAATGTCAATTACCAGAACTCAGTTTGAACTCAGTAGCTAAGTGGACAACGCGATGGCGTTTGAAGCGAATGGTACTAGATTCGAGTTCCGGAGATGCAGGTACATCCAGCGGAGTTTAAATTTACGAATAGCCATCCTTTTTCTAAATGTATATTTACAAGAAGAAATTGTTGTTACTATATGTTGATAAAGGCAGTTTCTCTCATAGACAATCAGATAACTGTCTTAGTATGCAGTTACCAATCTATTTAATTTTACTATTGCACATATGTCGTTATTAACCATAGCATTGAACTTTACAACATTGAATAAGATATGTTAAGCTACGTAAACGTTTTTTTTGTTTGAATTTTTACGCTTTCATATAACTTGCTATGCTTGATAAACTAAATATAATCTCTTTTCTCATCTTCTTCCTGGTATATTCAATCTAATTTAGCTACGTGATGCAAATTCTGAATTAAATAAACTAATAGAAAAACGTATGATTTCAAATGAACCATTTGATGATAAAATTTCATTATTTCGTCAGCAAGCTGCTATTGTAAGACGTAAAAAATTAGCAGCAGCTGAAACATTAACAACAACACGTGATAGGCTATCTGAATTGAATAATCGTCTTGAAGAAATGAAAAATCAATTGGGTGTATCAACAACTATTGATCAGAATGGAGAAGATGGCAATGGGATTACAATAAATAAGGCGTTAGATCTATCCTGTTTAAAGACTGATGAAGTAAGCAGTAATTGATTTCATTCCAAATTGTTTTAATGATAAAGATTCTTCATATATATCAATCAGTCAGTCAATTATAAACAAATCAAAACCTACCAAATTTATGTATCGGTTCAAGTTATCACATCATATCTGTACAATGGGATAAAATTATCAAGATAAATATAAGGGTAGTAGCAGTAAAAACAGTATTAGTGGAAGTAGATGACATTATTCATAAACATTATGATTCGAGAAGAAAGTATAAATTCTCAGGATTAAGATTTAGGGTAATTTTTGGACTAAAGATTCAAGAGGTAATGTTTGAATCAGTTTATGCAATTGAGACCAATTGCGAACCAAGTCAACCAATGTCCATAACCTGTTAGTCTGCAACTGCCAACTCTACTCAGTCCAACAGCCACGAACTGATATAATGTCTTGGTTTAGTTTCCCTTAACTTTCTTCCATTCTACTCATGTACAAGCAAACATAGAACGTTGAGGTTGGGAGTGGTCGGGTATACTTACTATATGTCTCAACCACCTCAGTTGATAAACATTCATAATCCCACCAGCCGATTTATAATCTTAACTATATATATATATATCGATAAAGATACTGAAAAGACACGACTGAACATGTATATACGTGCATTTAAACTTTTACTTTTGTTCAACAAAACTATTGATCATGGTGAGAAATCCTATGTTAACTATCCTCGATAGTATTGTTACTAATTTATATTTTATTTGTATACTTAGTCAAAAAAGTTTTGACTTTGAACTACTTTCCATTTTGATTAATCAGTGCAAATAACTAAACAATAATGGCATCGGTCGCTATACGGTTTACATATTTCAGTCCTTATACACTACAGCTGATTGTATCTTAAATAGCTCAATAGTAGTCTCTTTGTTTATCATATTCCTTTCGGATCAAATCAAATCTTAAGTGAAACATCACTTCTCTAAACATGATAGATTTATCTTGTTAACAAGTGTTATCTATCATTAAACATAGTTTCAAAAATCTCTACCGACTCCTTTAACCATAAGACACTAACGTTTGTTAAGAATACTTCTGAATTCAGTTGGAACTTAAATAAATTTCAAATTATCAGAATAGTTAGTATTCACACCAAAGTTTGACTTAAAAATTTCAACTAAATTGAGTAACGGGTAGATTTTTATATCCCAATGAGTATAAAACTGGACTTCTGACGTTCTGCTACCTTTTGTAAAACGTTTCTTTAAATAAATAAATAAATAACCAAATTAAAATGATACAAACATATTATATTCTTATCATTAGGTCAAATACTTTCCAAACATTTTGTAGCAACCATGAACCAAATTAAGCAAGACAACCACTAAAAATGTAAGAGCACTGGATGGTCTTTGTGTCCAAATATGAGACTCAGTAGTGTACATCCATAATCGAGCACTCAGGACTCGAACCTAGTACCATCGGGTATGCGCGGGAACACTCAACCTCTGGACCACTGAGTCGGCATTCAACAGTGTTGATGCCTAACTTCCGTTGATTCATGATCTTGCTCAACCCTTCATCCATTATCTGTTTGGGATTGTGAAAATTACGGGATTTTACTAATATCACGAACCGATCTATGTCATATAACCACTGAAAAACTGGAAACACTGGACAGCTCTCTCAAAAAGCTATTAGATTTCTGGTACAGTAGGCCAATTAGCCATCAGCCAAGAGTTTGCTTTCCTTTCCAAAGAATGAAGCACACCCCACTGGCCGAAAGTTATGGTTAACATTTCAAAGAGATATATATACATATATATGAATGGATGTTTAATTACTACTCGATTCAATTGTTCACCAAAAGGCTACCTCACTCTCAGTCTTGTTACCAAAGCAGCTAGTTGGGCTCACTAATAGGAAGCTTGTGTATCAAATATCAGAATCGGACACCGCACAACATGATATTTTCCCGTTCATCAATTTTTGTATTGTTTTCTCGCTAACTACTGATTTGTAGACAAGAAATATTTTGTCATAATACGTAAGTAGTAAATGATTAAAGTCAAAACTCACTTCTTCCCTAATTTCATAATTTTTTCCCATTCAGTTTCAACGATATGTTGCAAAACTTCGTAGTAAAAACACAATATATAAGCAAAAACGTGCTCAATTAAGTGAGTTACGCGCAGAAAAAGGAATACTGTCGAGAACTGTTGAAATATTACGTAATGAAGAGAATGAAATGAAAACATTATTGGCTAATGCAGAATCTGAACATGGTACGAATGGTTATTGGGAAACTCAAACAAATTTAGGCAAAGTAAGATAAATACTATTGTTTTACATATTTTTTAATTTCCTTACAAATAAGTTGGAGTAAACGGATTGACAACTGCACCATAATCAATGTTACATATCTCTGTTCTTAAATGCAGTTACTTTCAAATTAACTGATAAAATAATTCATAAAAAAGTTGTACTACTCATAATAAATGACAAAAGGCTTTAAAAAAGCATATAACAGTTAGGATAAGTTTAATAATTGAAGCTAGACCACAATGGAAAACCTGGAAGCACTGGACAGCCGTTTCATCATAGTATGGGACTCCTCGACAGTGCGCATCCACGATACCGTCCCTAGCGTGGTTCGAACCCAGGATCAATCAGTCTCGCGCGCGAACGCTTAACCTCTATACCACTGAGCTGGTATCCAATGGTGTTAATATCTAACTTTAACAAATCCACGAACAGGGATTTAAAAGATTAAAATCTGAGTTTCATGTTTGTTTGTTTTTAACATTCATCTCGAACAGATTATCAATAATGTGGGATAAACTTGAAATTGTGATATTAAATAAATGAAAGACAACAACTGATGAATTCGTTGTGTTTCGTCACTTTCCCATCAGTTACATATAAACTATAAACTTTAATTGTTACCAGTTAATAGGTGTTATGTCGCAAGATAATGTGTTAATCAATAACGGATAAGTGGTGTTTTATGTGAAAAACACTAAAGAAAACTTTGCATCATAATTTTTTCTTAAAATAGTTTTTATAATTCTAGAATATTGAGATAATTTTTTTATGTGATATAACCAATAAAAACTTTTTTAGAAGTTTTGAAAGAAAAAAAGGACATATGAGTTCAACTCACTAAATTGTGATTACAATTAAATTAAATAAACTTACATACTTATTTATGCATGTTACCCCTTGTGAAGGAGCATAGGTCGCCCACCACGATTCTCAAATCCGCTATGTCCTCGGCAATTCTTTCCAGTTGCTATTCACCATTTTCATGTCTGCTTCTCCAATTCCCGACGTAGTGTGTTCTATGGCCTTCCTCTTTTTCGTTTCCATTCACGATTCCAAATTAGCGTTTGCCTCGTGGTGTAGTTTGATGATTTCCGAAATAGTTAAAAGTCAATTCATTGAATTTATAGATCATTAATATATTGGGTAAATTGACAGCGCAAAATTTTGTCTTTCATAAGATCGATAGTATGGTCTAATACAAATTGTCTAAATTGCACACAAAAACTATTCAGTTGATATTAGTCTACTATCTTCAAATATAGACTACTGCGGTGCGTGCCACTTATATTGATATAAGTAGTATATGACGCGACTCAGGAATGTAATGTCTAGCAGCAGAAGATGGGAAAGATCAAGAAAGGAAGAGCGGGGATAAAAAGCAATTAGTATGGAAATGCAAGAACAACGAAGTTTGAGACAATTATTGAACATTTCGCAAATTAAGTATTATCGTATGGTTTTTCTATTTTACCAAGTAACTCTGTAATTTTGTGCTAATTACCATTCGATTGTCCCCACTCGTGATATCTCTTCACTACACTACTAGTTGTTTGTAAAGTTTTATAACTTTTACGTTGCTGATATTGTTTCCTTTGTACTATTTAGACTTCTAATCCTATTTCGGTTATTTATTTACTGTGAAAAAGTGGCTTACATTAAGTCAAGAAACGTTAGAAATACAATTTTCTACTCATTGGGATATCAGAAAAAATACATTTATTACTAACTTTCTACCCAATGACCAATTTGTTTGAAACTATCAAGTCCTAGCTTGGCATTCATACCTACACGGTTTGATGAAATCTATGCATGCTAAGGGGATTGCTTCGATATTACCATTTTACCACATACTTTTTAAGCGAAGCTGGATTGTGACTAGAAGTGAGATCCAGGAACAGTGTTTTGTTCTACTTGCGACTCGTCAGCTTTAAATTCCTTAACTAAATTGGGTACATCAACACTGGGATATAGGTAAATCTACCTTACTAGTCTCGAGTAGGACAAAAAAGCAACATCTTGTATTCAATTGCTAGTTACATATACAACTTACTGAAAAAAATTTATTAGTATTTACAAATTGTATTGCAGATAAAACAAAGCAGTAATTTGTTTTCATGAAACTAAGAATAATAAATCACTTAAAAAGTATCCTATAATTCTGAGCTTTATTTGGTAAACGTTCCCTCTTCAATGTGTGAATTATAAGCACAACTAAAATTGAAATATCTTACTTTGTTGAGAATATGTGAAATTATATAACTTACTAAATTGAAAGCACCATTTTGGAAGTAACAGAAATCTAAACAACTAAAGATAAGATTAGATATTATTCTTTGACAAGATGAACAAATGGTTGCAAGTGATATTGATTTTATCAATTGAGAATACTTATTTATTAGGAAATATGATATACAAAGCTTACTTATTCATTCGTACTGGTTGTATGAATCCTCTCGTTGATGTTATGGACTGCAAGTGATTAATCTCTTTCGGCTTATGTTCACCCTGTGAAACTTGGATTGGAATCGTCATTAAGTCACAAACGATTTGGTTGGGATTGGATTCTAGGAAGCTCGTTTTAACCTGTTTGGGAATCATCAGTTGGATGCACCTGCATCCATGTTAAATGTTCACGGCGGGACTTGAAGCTAGTACACTACGCTTCAAATACTGGACACACTATCGACTTGGTTACCGAGTTTAGCTAGTCACTGACCTCTGAGTTTACTTTGTCACTTTTCTTATTTCAAGCAACGGATAACTACTGATTACAATCTGACTAATGGAAATGTTTCAGTAAATAAATATTTCAGATTTACTGAGTAGTAATAGTTCACCAGTCAGTTATTATCAATGTACGACCAGATACAAATGTACATCAATTCAATAAGCCGTACGACATCAGCATACAGAATTTAAATTAATATGATTTTTTTACACCTAGTATGAATGAAAACAATGTTCCTAGCGACTATCATATCCAATGGTTGGAGACTCTGGGTGACATGGCTCAGAATCGATCACAATGGCGTCGGTGTATACACTCTCTGTCTTCCCTTAAACTAAGAGATTAAAATCGCTTCATATCTTTCGTCCTACGAACGCATTCTTTCTTCCTGTGCTATATCCTCATATGCAATCTTTCGTTTATATATTACCACCTCTGAATTAACTACTTTTATGTTCATCTTATTGTGTTAATGATGTATGGCAACTTGGACCGATGCATATGTGGGCCTGGTTCTACGTTGTAGCTGACTGACTACATTTCAATTCAGTTATACTGAATTCTAGTAATTAATTAATGTAACACTTTCATAATAATTCATAATAGCATTTATGTTCCAATGTGCTTACTGGTTAGAGATTTTTTAGCAAGGTTGGTTTCCACGGCATGGGGTTGCCGACCCTATGCCCAAGCCTCCTTCTTTATCCGGGCTTGGGATCGGCAGTAGCCGTAGAAGACCTACAGGCGGAGTTATATTTGAATGTAGGATACTTAAAATGAACTTCTATTGTAAATTATGATACAGATTTGCTTTAACATATTTTATTGAAACTAAACAGCCTACTTTCTCCTGATAATCTACATGGAAAAATGTTAGAGAATTTCGCGAAGAACTATACATACGTATTTATGGACAAAGCTTTTTGTCTTCATAATCTCAAGTTAACTGAAGAATAAATGACAATCAGATAGAACTGAAAAACTATTTTGTTAGCAGTATGAATTATTTTATGAGTACTATGATTCTAGTTTTATAATGCAGTTAATTAATCATAGAAAACATAGAATCTATCGTGAATGTTTTACACATACAACATCAACATAGAAGTTGAGAAATTATTCATATGAAAAGTAGAAGAGTTGAATTCATTAGATGATCTATGCTAGATCACAATTAAAAACTTGGAAGCACTGGACAGCTGTTTTGTCCTAGTAAGAGATGCCTCCATTGTACACATCCACGATCCTGCATACGGGACTCGAACCCAGGGACTTCGGTCTCACGAGTGAACGCTTAACCTATCAACCACTGAGCTGGTATCCAACGGTGTTAATGTTCAACTTCAATCGATCCATGACCTTGCGCAACCCTTCATACATTCTCTGAAGTGGATAACTGTCTCCATCGGACACAGATTGGACTCCACTGGTCACGGCTTTTCACCGAAACTCTAAGAAATCCATCACGAAGCTAGTCACTAGTGAGCAAACTTGTTATTTTGTAATTCTATAGATATGATGTTAATAGGGACTAATTTACGAAACAGTAAGTAGTAAGAAGGTATAGAAATTTCACAGAAATTAACAGTGAAGTGGACATTGATCTTTCAAGAGTTTGGTAGTTTGTAATTAAAGAACATAAATTGATATAAACTTATGACCATGATCCAAAACCGTCTCCAAACTAGAAATATTTATTTAGATTGTTTACCTTATTCATCAAATTTAACTTGTAATTAAATGGTTAAAAGCTACTTACTTTCATCATAAGGCCGGGAGTGTGTATGAATGAAACATTCCCTCAACTTGTTGAACCTGTTCAATGAAATTTCAGTGGGTTTTTGTATTACAGTATAATATTGATTACTACCTACAGACCAATCACTTTAAGCATCTCACTTCTTAATTTACATTACTAACTGATATTATATAGATAACTCTTAAAAGCGACAAAGTATTGGACAACTAGTTAGTCCACAAACTCCCCATCTTAAATGGTAATTTTGTGCTTAGTTCAAAAAAGCTCCATTGATAAATTATGACTGATAGAAGTGAGCTAGATCAGAAGATAGGCAGTTATTACTGATACCAATAGAAGATGGTTACACAGTATCGCGAATTGACTATTGAATGTCAATTTACTATCTAACAGTAACACAGTGTCTATAAGATTTTAAAGTTTCGGATTCATTCACTGACAAGGTTGTGGGTCCTTAGTATTAAGGAGTTATTTAATCTAACAAAAACAATTGTCCAATTCTCTCAGTCTTCATCTAGCTAAAGTTTGTCTGTGTTGTAAATATCCTTCGATTTGTACTATCACTGGAAATACCTTATTCAATTGAATCAATGGTTTAACTTGCTGCTTTAACTTTTAGCTGTAACGAAAATATATACTGTTAATAATATACATTTGTGACAAATATTTGTACATATAAATTGATCTTTCACTAAGTTATAATTATAGTTATATTTGTTTAGTTCTTCATGGCAAAGTACCACGCTGAATGAGTTCAATTTATATCACAGAGAAGATCATTGCTTACTAGATTGCCCGTATATCTTGCTAACAACTACCAATTAATATAAAACTTAGGTTCAAGATTTCTTATCAACTCCTCAAACCAGTGAACACTTGTTCATTTATTTAATTAAAAGCAAGTAATAGCATACTAAATATAAATTTAATTAATTCAATGGGTAATAATACATAAAATCAACGTGTTCCAGTTTATTTTAAAACCAAAGTAGATTGACGTAATCACTGACCAATATTGATAGTATTTGATAAAATGTATTATTATTATTGTTATTATTATTAATACACTCTAATATACGACGTTTACATGAACCTATTTTGTTTGTCACACCATTTTATGGTACTAGCACTTTATTCAATAACATGTTTATTCTAGATTAGTCAAAATAAATTTTATTCTTACATAATACAACTTCAGATGGTTGAGAAGATTTGTAGATCAGGTGGATGATTTTGATGGAGTTTTATTCTCTGATGACCGAACTATCTAGTTCAGAGAACAAAATTTCATCGAAAATAATACAAATTTCTAATTATAGTATATAAGATAACTTTTCCAGTTGATGTTCATCTATTGTTTGAATCAGTGTTATATAACAACAAGAATGTTACTTATTAATTCAGTTCCTTTTACCACCTAACTTTCAGATGAATACATCCCTAATGATCTTATAATCACAAAAGTTTAAATATCATTATCAGTTAATTATTTGATTTTGTATAATTAGTTTAGTATAGAAAATATTCTTTTGGTATCTAGACCTTTGTTAGCGGGACATAGATTAGATTAAAGCATACTCAATGCACGATTGCTTTGGTGCACGCTGATTGGCTAATTCTTATCCAATCAGCACTAGTCGATACTTGGAGAATACTCTAGAATCTTCTCATGTAAAAACTATAAATATACTAACGTTTTCCCTATTGTTCTTCTTACTTGCTTCTCACTTCCATCTAACCTTGTTATTTGGAATATAATCTCTTTCCTGATTTGGGGACTTGTCGAGTGAATCGGTGTCCGAGAATACTAAGCAATAGGAATAGCTGGGTTATAACGGAAAGAGAGAAATATAACAACCTTTAATACTTTGAAACATAGTCCTGAAGAATATAGAAGATATTTTGATTCGAAACGATTAAGTTATTATCTGTCCCTCTACATAGATTGTTGTATAAATTAGATCAGATTAATGTTTAGAATTACCTAATTATGATACTGAAAATTTTTGATTGAAGACTACAAAAGATATGAGTTTAAACTCATTCATTACAATGTTGTTTATTGATTTACTCTGTCTTAGTAGTTCTGAATAACTTTCAACTTAATATTTTTATAATTTTCACCTATCTAATTGTGTCATACACTTCCATCTTAAAGTTGTTGTTTCTTTTTGATTATGTTTATTAAGCATAAACTTGTACCAACTTGAAACAATAAACTTCTATTGACGTTTCTATTATCATTATTCATTGGTATGTTCTATTACCATTTAGATTAAATTATACCTTGTAATAAATCTGTCCTACTTTCATACTCTTATAATAGATTAGTTGGTCATAGACAATATAAAACTTGATAAAAATATGATGACTAGACAAAGGTACCATGATTCATACTATTAATAATGAAGAGACGTTTGACAATAAAAAAATATCAATGTTTAAATAACAACATAAATTACGGATTAGGATCTAAACGTACAATAGATAATTTTAACATGTTAACTGAAAACTACTTACTTACTTACTTATTTACTTAAGCATGTTACCCCTCGTGGAGGAGCATAGGCCGCCCACCATCACTCTCCATTCAACCCTTTCCTGAGCAACTGACTGATAACAATTATTTGACCATATTACAACACTAAATTTTTAAGAAGAATAAAAAGTAAATTCATGTAGTTCACTTCATCTGATTGTAAACCTTGGCAATTAAGGTTTTTCAATTATTTTATAGATTATGACTGTTTCATAAACAAACAGAAGTATCTTTTTAATCTTCAGATAATTCAGACTACTAAATAGTTATTGAATAGAATGCTACCATATCTTTTCCAGAGCACTCATAGCATTTTTACAACGTATTATTATTATGCTGGTCAGTATAGGAGATCATGATAGGTAGCGATTAGATGTTAATAGATAATCGTTTCAATATCTTCCCTCAATGGTGATTCGTAACATCATTAACTGACTTTCAATACTGTAATATTAGCGCTAATCTCATGACTAATTCATCATACACCATTAATACTTCAAACACATTTCTAGTCTAACGATTAAATAATATGCATATCTTTTACTTTCAGGGTTTATACTTCAAGCTTTAAAGTGGCAAGTAGAGAACTGTTGTCTAATCTAATTATTCTTTTTTTTTACCAAACAGAGCAATTTAGCTCCTAAAGCTTATAAACCAACAATTTTTCAAAGCTAGTTTTTGTTACGAACTAATATCGGTTCAGGAACCAATTGAAACCATGGGAAAGTGAGGGCTGGTCACTGATGGATTTTTATAAATATGTCATTAACTTAGCATTAACATTAACCTTTCATATATTAATAATTAAATTATTACTTTTTACTCGAATTCCTTATTTTAAATCTGGCAGGAAGGTTTTATTTAAGTAATGTTTGATTGTTTTCCCACAAAGAACTGGTAAACATTATGTAATTCAGACCTATCATCTCATTCAAATAACCAATATGGTAAACTAAAAGGAAAACTACGGTTTTATTATTCTAACTCACAACACATGCTAATATTGAGCTCGAGGATACAAAAAGATTGATATCTTAATAATATCATCATTTATACTTTGATTTCTTCAGAGATCAATTGTTGATACTGTAATACCAAGGTGTTTTCTTCTATCTTTTACAACAAAATAGCTTGTAAATTTTGGAAGGGTTGTGTATTTTTTGTAAAAAAGAAAGCAATAAACTTCATTTAGTTTCTCAACCTGAATTCAATTTATTCAAACTCGATTTGTTTATAGGAATAATAAATGAAATTTAACAATAACTTACAAGGTACACTTGTTATTGTTTACTTGAATCTGAGATGGTGGAGAAGATTTGTAGCTCAGGTGGATGATTTTGATGGAGTTTTGTTCTTTGAGCTGAATGGTTTGGTCGTAGAAGACTTCTGTCTGAAGTTTGTGCTGATGATGTCGTTCAGAAGAACGATGAAAGCTCCACGACCAAACCATTCAGTTCAGAGAACAAAACCCCATCAAAATTACTTGAATCTTCCCATTAATGTTCAGGACTGTAATTGATCAGTTTCTTATCGGCATTTGTACATACTTTTCATATTGCCTTAATTCACAAGCATTATAAACAAAGATGGATAGTGGCTAGCAGTGGAATCCAGGAGGCTTGTTTCGTCCTGTTTGGGACTGGTTAGTTGGATGTACCTACATCTCAGAGTTGATGTTCTTTAAACGCGCATCCTGGAATCCACTACTAGCCATTATCCATCTTAACTTACAAAATAGTTTATTTCAATATATATTCTGAACAGCAAGCTATTATTTCTTTCAATTATAAAACACAACTTTGTTATTATAGTTTTCACCATTTATTTTGATTGACTTTTTCTTTGCTTATTTATTTATACAAGATTTCTGAAGAAATGTCACTGTCAAATGAACTAAAAGGTACTACACTAGAAGAGATGTCAAAAATTATTCAACAACTAAATAATCGAATCAATACTAAACGTACACAACTAGCCCCAATCATCCGAGAACTTCGACAATTAAGACAAAGAGCTCAGGTGATTTCATTCATACTAATAATTCTTGTAGTATTTTAGTGGAGAGTTTTTTGGAGTTTATTTAAATTTTAATGTTGGTATTCATTAGACATCAGTCTAAAACATCGATAAGTCTATACAGACACAATGGTTCAAATGTGATACATTGTCTACGACGTTCTAGATCCCTGTAATACACGAACACTCAAATGAGAGACAACCAAATTATGTTTAACACAAAATTACAGAATATCTTCGTAAAATATGAAAACTATGCATTAAATAGTTCATTCCCAAATATCCCATCAGTAGTCCTTTACATTCTGTATGATTCTTTCAATTCATTCCTAGACTCAAGCCTTAGCTAGTCCATATTGTCTAAATTTATCAAAATTGCCTCACTAAGAAAAAGCAGAAGTTCAATATTTTCAGGTTTGTATTAATTATGTAAACTGACGTCGAACTGTGACGAAGATTACCTTATAAAAATTGTTAACAGATCTCTCTTTTCATAAATGAATTGAAAGAATATGAAGACGTAAGTTGTAAGGTATCTCACAAAGAAATATGTAATCGTTTTCCTAACAGTGCGTAAATATATGACTGAAGTCAATTTCATTCTTATCATTATGTCACAAAGTAATATGACGAAGTGATGAAATTCATGTTTTGATAAACTATTGAATTCTTTGATATATGTGGTCAGATTGTTCGAAATGTATTACACAAATATATCACATAATTCTGATAACCTTCGTTTTCTTATTGCATTATCGAAGTATTCTGAATCAGTAAGGTCTAGTTAAGAAAAACTGTAACTTCGGTCGATTGGTTATTCTAAAAAGTCACCTATATCAAAATGAGTAGCTTACAGATCAATATTACTGGACTGTGTAATAGTCATTAAACTCAGAAGGTAGTTCATGAATAACACTTAACAGCTTTTTAGTTTACCAGGATTCACATCTGAAGGGAAGTACTGAATACAATCAAAATCTTGGATACAACTAGACGATTAAGGTTACGCAAATGACCTGACGCTTCTGTCCCATACACACCAACAAATGCAGATGAAGACAAATAGTGTAGAAGCAGCCTCTGCGTCAGTAGGCCTCCATATACACAAGACGCAGAGCAACATCCTCCAATACAACATGGAGAACACCAACTCATTCACATTTGATGGAGAAACTCTGAAAGAAGTGGAATCTTTCACTTATCTAGGTGATATCATCGATGAACGTGGAGGATCTGATTCAGATGTAAAGGCAAGGATTGACATAGCAAGAACAGCATTCTTACAGTTGAACAAAATGTGCAACTCAAAACAACTGTCAACAAGCATCAAAGTCAGAATCTTTAATACGAACGTCAATACAGTTCTACTGTATGGAGCTGAAACTTGGAAGACTATCACAATCATCGTCAAAAAATACAACTGAATAGGAAATTAAGAAAAGACGTTGGAAGTGGATGGGACACACATCACTTAAGTTAGTTAACTACATCACGAGGTAAGTGCTAACTTGGAATCCTGAGGGGAAACGGATAAGTGAAAGATCACCACATACTACGTTGAGAATCAGAAATCAAAAAGATGAATAGCAAATGGGAAAGGATTGTCCAGGACAGAGTTGAATGAAGAATGCTAGTGATCAGCCTTGCTCCTCCACGAGGAGTAACACGAGTAATTAAGTAACGATTCACAGTAGTCATTCAACTGATATTCTCCTACGATTCATGTTGAATTCATTTAACATATAACTGTAATCATAAAATGTTACTAAGTACAACTTAACTGATTTCACAAAACGTATTACGTTTTACATGCACTTTAAAAACGTAGTGATATCGAGTGCACTACAAAACCATTTTTTTTCATTTTGCAAGTTTGTTTTTTCTGGAATAATCGATTTGGTGCACTACATACGTACAAAAACAAACATCTAAATTGTTATTATTTTATTGATTAAACAAATACGTAATCTATTCACTGTGTTTAAGTAGATGTACATTCTTCGGAAATTTAAGATTTTTTTTTAAGAACAAACAATAACAAATAAGTAGTATATCAGAGTAGCATGTTAGTGAAGAATGTTTTATTTCATGATAGTTGACATTTCGGACTGAGTTTATGCAAACAATCATTTGAAATCAGGAAGTATTGTATAGTTATTTAATTCTCATATACTATATCTCCAATTAACTAGTGTTAAAAATGTGAATGGTGAAATGTTAATTGATACCCATCTCGAGTCCATTCCCTGGAACGGATGGAGTCACGTTTTGCTAAGAAGTTCCATATTTCGATTCAGACCATGATATAAACTAACATCAAATATTATAATATTTAGTTGTTAGTTAGTACTGAACGAGACGAAAAGTACTGAATTATACCGAAAAAACACCTAATTATAAGCATTTGCCCATAAAGGTTTGTATATTTACAAAATAACTAGAACGAAATGTTTCATACCTTAAATGGTCAACTAGCATGAAATTTAATTTTATTGTTCTTTCCTGACTTCTTTTAACCACTTGTCACAAAATATTTATGATAAAATGTTGAGTCAATTTGACTACTGGCTAGATTTTAATCAGTTTGAAAATAATTAATAAATACAAAAGGCTAAATAATATTATATTGGTCATTATGAAGTAATCAATTAGCCCACATATCCCATTCCTATATGTTTATTGAGGTTTAGATAGCTCATTGGTAATGCGTTGATTGTAAAAATCGATAATGAAAGTTCCAATCCCACTAGGTAAGTTAGTTCTTTCACGATTACAAATATTCCTAATTGATGAGTGCTAGTTAGCACATATCGCATATTTATTCCGCCAAATAGCTTTCAACAACCTAACGTTTCAGTAGTAATATAAGTATAAATAATAATGCATCTTCCTTGAGTGTTTCAAAACACTGACGTAAATAATCAATAAAGTTCGATAAATGAGTTACAACAAATCAAACAAGAAATGAAAAATCCTGTTTAAAGTAAAAGAAGGGGCTTCAAAATGAAGAGAGAAAGAAATTTGAAACTTTCTAGTACTTGGATGTGACAGTACTTTCAAAACAGCTTGACGCAAGAGAGTGCGTATCGTAGACGTTGACTCCAAATCACTTTATAAGTGATAAAAATTGACTTTGAACCACATGATTTGTCCTTGACCATATTCATCTACAAAACATCACTCACATATGGTAAGAGTAGTCAATCAGTAATGCTGAGGATAAGTATAGAATACCATACAGAATTAGGGAATTATTTGCTGAGGTTATGAACAATCGTCGACTCATTTTGCTGGAACATATACCAAACATGTTCATTCACTTCTTGCAATGAAGTATTGTACTACCAAACATTAAAATAAGCCGAAACAAGCCTTAGTGTCTAAACTGAGACACAACAGAAGACTTCATAATGACGAACTATTAGTCTAAGTTCTATTAGACAATCCTAACGATCTATTTAAAATCCACTAGTTAATCGTATTCTATACTTATAAACCTTAGATGACAGTAATGAGAATCAGTGGAGTAGTTTCATTCATTCTTTATCGTTATTTTTATGAATTAAAATTTCCCATATAATTTTACGCTTCTAATGTTCATATTTGATTCGTTCATTTTAAATTGAATTATTTTTACCGGTTAGCGTTTTTTTAGCGAGTTATTTTTCTACGGTATGGGGTCGCTAACCCCATGCCCAACCCTCCTCCTTTACCTGGGCTTGGGACCGGCAGTAACTCTAGAAGAGCTACAGGCGGAGTTTCCATTTTAAATTACATTTATTATATCTAGTTTCTTCCTGTAATTAATATTAGGACTCCAAGTTTTTATAAGTAGATAAGTAAATGACCGTTCAGTTAGTAAATTTAGAATACAAAATAATTATACCTAACAGATATGCTATTCTCATTTTCGATGTAATAAGCAAACAGTATGATTATCTCTCTCTCACTACAGTTACATTTCATTTATATATCGATTAGTATATGTACTACTGTTAGGAAACTAAATGATAAAACGACTATGTGTAATTTGTTGGGAAATTTTATATTGATTTTTATCTATTCACTATATTTTATATTAAATTATATCTGAAGGGGTTTTTATGGATATTATAGTAATTTCAGTAGTTGGGATCATGAGTCAATTGAAGTTAGACGACCATGGAAAATCTGGAAGCACTTGACGGTCGTTTCGTCCCATTGTGGAACTCCTCAGCAATGCGCGTCCACGATCCCGCCTCGCGAGATTCGAACCACAGGACCTATCAGTCTCGCGTGCGAAAGCTTAACTTCTAGACCACTGAGCTGACCGGCATTCAATGGTGTTAATGTCTTACTTCAAATAATCCATGAAATTGATTTACACATTCACCATTGTCTTCAGTGAGTTACCATCTCACAACAGATCCGGCTGAACTTCACTGTTCACTGCTTCTCACTAGAACTCTAGGAAATGTCTCTTAAAGCCAGTCACGAGTGAGCATATATTGATTAGTATCAGAAGGTGTTTTTGTGAATATTATAGTAATTTCAATAGTTGAGATAATGAGTCTAGTTTCAATTGACTCATGATCTCGACTATGAAATTAATTTACATCTGTAAGACAAAATGATAATAAAACTTATTCTTAGGCTCATGTTGGTTATATTCTAATAAACCATTCTCTAAGTAGGTATTAATTACATTCTCTACTAAATTAAATTGGATAGTTGTCGGCTCTCTACTTTAACTATTTGTGCTAATCTACATTTATCAATTAATTGATAAACTGTGCCCATACATTTAAATAATTTAATATCATTTATTTAAAATTGTAATAGTATCTTTATCATTACTTTGACTACTAATATTAAGTAATTTAAGATAAGTTAACAGAAATCCATAAATTTGAGTTTCCCATTGTATTTGAAATTTTGGAAAGACTGTTACATGGCATAGGACTCGAAGTCGTATATATATATATATTACTACCATTGAAGTAACTATTATGAATTTGGTGTTCATCTTGTTGTGTTAATGAGGTATGGTAACTTGGACCGATGCATATATGTGCCCTGTCCTACGTTGTAACTGACTAACTGACTGATTGACTAATTGAACATTATCTATAAAATATATGATATAATAAGAAACTTGATGGGCTTCACTTAAGCTAGATATGTGTATACAACCATAGATTAATGAAATACATTTCATTATATAAGGTTAAATTCCAGGTAATTAGACAAACTGAAGACGTGATGGAATGTGTCAAACAAACAATACGAATTAAAACTGATAATTCTCTAATTATACGGCTATATATAGATACATATATTAGATTAAGGTTGGATGTAATAATGAAAAGTAAAATTCTGAATATTAATGAAGCCGTTATTATTCAATCTTACCTTTATAAAATATAAGATAAACATATATTGTAGTATGATCATTACAAATGATACTAACTTACGATAATGCAATGAGAAGACGTAGTTTATCAGAATTATGTGATATATTTGCGCAATACATTTCGAACAATCTGATCACACATATACTTCTTAAGAACATTTATATATGAAAATTAAAAGGTCAACTAGACAGGTTAAGGGTAAGTCATAACAAAGGAAAAATATTAAAGTACACAAAAACAAATGTGATTACCACTCTGGATAGTAAATCAGTACTACCAG